CAGACATTGCTTCTGTTCTTTAGAGAGGCCAAAGATATGTTTTCAGGATTAACAACTCTATCAACTCTCAAAGATGTTTTAAACTATACATTGGATGGATACCTGTGTGTCATGGCCTTTGCTGGGTTTCCATCACCATATGTCTGACCACGAAAATCTGAAGAAACAAATTCAAACGTAGGTTGCCATTTTGTTTTCATTATGGTTCACATATTTATTCTCAAATTAACTGATTTGGGTTATTGTTTCATTCAGAATAGATAAGTTTCTTTTTTAATAGGTGAAATAATGTCTCAAAATGTTTGGCTTCATTAAACGGAATCCAGAAAAGCGGCCAAAGGAAAAAATAAAATTTAAAAAGAACACAAAGTTTTGTCTCTAAGTCAGTGCTATTAAATGCAAAAAAAAAAAAAAAGGATTTTCTCATTTCCATCCTCTGTAGAGCAAATAAGGCTAAGCCATTCTAATTCCAAAGCACAACTACTGATAGAAAAATGCAATGCATTGCAGTATAATGCATTCTACCTGCCAGAAAACTCTTCTTGCAGCTGGAAAAAGAGTAGCCTTCATGATGGTTAGCTACACTGATTTTTTTATAGTAGATAGTGTCACCACTGGAATCTTGGTTTTGAGTAACAAAATGCATGTTAATAACATCATGGCTCTTTTGGACACACTGACGCTGCTTGGTAACTTTAACAGTGATAGTTAACAATGTAAATTTCTATTTTACAAAGATGAATGCAGTAAATATTTTCACTGCTTTCACTATGCCATTGTAAGATTATTTCTCATTTAGTTTGACATTCTGTATAATCCATATTGTCACAAATTATGGACAAATCTGAGGTTTAATATTCCTTTCACCTTTATGTGGATTGTTTTTCTTAACATCTTAGGTTCAATCACAATAGCATCCCAGAGTAAGAATTATCACCTTTGGTGACATTGTCTTTAAGAAACTTTCATCATCTCCTGATTTTGAAAAGCTAGTGCTTGAGAAAATATCTTTCTTCTAGAAAATAAGCATTTAAGAATATGAAAGTCCTTAGTAGTAATCCTATTATTGTTACATTAAAAATCTTACACTTGACAAGCAGTTGATGGCTCCTGATGAGTCATTAAGAACACAGGAATTACAGCAATGAGTTGAACCCACCTAGTTCAGTGTCCCATTTCTGACACTGACCTGTACCATCTGTCTCAGAGGGAGGTTTTGGGAACCCCCTCCTGGTCAGTTGGCAGAGATGGACTTACGCACCTGCTAAAGTGGACCACATTATCCCAAAAATATAAAGTATGGCAGAATCCATGAAGCATGAGGTTAATATCCTCTATACAACAAACATAGTGATCACATATTACAGTTCTGATATTCTTGATATGCGCATGGTTTCTCAGATTTTTTTCTGAATCTCCACAAATTCTTGATCAGAAGAAAAAATTGTGACAAAAAGTTCCACATTTAAATCAGATACTGTGCCCAAAATGTTCTTTACTCAGTTTTTGGTGTTCCACCACTTTCATTTAATACACAGACTCATTCTCTCCTACTATAAGGCAGAGGGAAATTCCCAGACTGCCACCTCTGGAGCCTTTCATTATTTTACATGCTTTCATCATAACCTTCACATTTGTTAGAAGGAAAATATGAATAAGGAAAATGCATTCAGACTACATGAATCGCAACACTCAATTTAATTTATTCACCTTGAGTGGGCTTCTTATGAGTTTTTAAGTGGAGAAGAAATCTGAACTAGCTTTTATGCAAGTGCTTGCACAGAGAACTACACTTTGACTACAAATTCAAGCCCCCTCCTTTTTAGGATCAGGCTTCCAAATCTGAAGCTATAGTTAACTGACAGGTATTTTTAGACAATGGAGAAAATCGGTCATAGGAATCACTATGTTTACAATGAACTGGGAGGGGAGGTTGTTTGTTTGGGTGGGTTTGGGGAGGTGTTTTTGGCAATGCTCAGATTGAGCCTTCTCTCAGCTTGACTCCTTTTAGACTTTTTAGTTCTAAACTAGTCAATCCACTCCTGTGCTCTTCACCATAAACCCCACAGCCCTAGTTCACTTTGAACTCACTAACTTCTACAAGACCTTACTTTCAGGGCTTGGAGATTTTGGAATATTCTGACTGCATGAGCGTATCTGAGTACACCTCAAACCATAATAATATCCTCGCCATACTTCTGCAGTGGAGGGAAGTACTACTGTCCCATTTGCAGAGGGGGGGAATTAACAGTAGGGCTACGCTGCAGTCACTACAATGACAGCACTGTGTGCCTACTTGCCAAGGATTGTTTTTAACTAGTTACCTCATGTACCGACAGCAAGGTGAATATAGGTGTGGCATGCAGAACTTGGCACAGGATGGAAAATTCACCCAGGAAGCAGAGAAAACAGACAGCCACACAAGTTGCCCTTGCAGTAGCTAATTAAAAACTAGTTGAGGTATATGAGTCCATTGTCTATAAAGGAAGCTGAGCATATCTATCTCACATGCTCTACATTCAGTCAGGTGAATCCCACCTCAGTTTCCCAATGAAAACACACTTCACCTGAGATGCTGTGTTCTATACAGTCAAGACCTAATTCTTCTTTTGTTATCATTCATACTTACCACAGTGGATATCACAGATCTGCAGTGGAACTGAATAATCTACATCTGTCCTCCAGCCCTTTTAAAAGAAAGAATTGAGGCTTATTCCCCTTTCAGCAGAACTGTTACTAAACACTTTACTCAAGTGACTGCATTTTTTAATCTGTTTTTAAATAAATGCATATGGAGACTGCTGGTCTATTGTATATTTAGTGAGTTGCAATCATGTTTAGGTTTCTAAATGATAAAGCTAATCAGATTTTTTTTTGGGGGGGGGAGAACTGTATTCTGACAGATAATGCTTATTTACAAAATAAATGATTTATGCAGGAAAACATCAATTTTACCACCAAATCTGATTTTTCACTAGGGAAGGAAGAACAACTCTCATTACCCAGAAGGCTCTTGCCAATCTCACTTTCATCTTGCCCCTTTCTTCCTAGCAGCAGAAAGTGAAGCTGACAAGGACTTTCCAGGGCACCTGCTGGAACCTCGCGGCTCCAGCTGTCAGTCTCTCTCGTCCCGGTGCCTGCTGAGAACATTAACTCCAGAGAGGAATAAACCTATCAGCTTCATGCTCATTTTCTATTAATGTTGTCTTTAATAAAGTTCAGCTACGAAAATAGTGTGCAAAAATGTCAGAAATAATCTGCTTTCAGGAGTGCTAATTCTAGCATACTATGCACTTAACTGTGCTGTTTGCTATATGCCTAACCTTTTCCAGCTAATGTCAATTTTTGAAAAATTCATCTATGATTTACTTGGGCCCTTTGATACCCTGGAACTTTTTATTACAAAGGAACATATAAAGACAGGATTAGCAATTTCCTGATGATATCCCTTTATCTGCCACTGAAAAAGGAGCAAGATCACAAAGAGCAACTTCTCTGTTAATTAATGTCATCTCAACAAGAGGTGGTGGCAGCACATCAAGCTATAAATAATGCTCTTTGCCAACTCCATTCGCATAGTAATCAGATTTGGCTGGGAAGAAAAAGCAGCGAGAGTGCCTGCTGGTTTGGTTTTGGTTTTTTTTTTTATGATTTGTTGATTTTGTATAGAGTACCTGGCAAAATCAAGACACATACCTGAATGCAAATTGTTGACCCACACATTTCCTGTGACATAGTGATTAATACAGAATCTCCCTAATGAAAAGAAAAAAATTGAAAACTATTATTTTCCATACCCTGCAACAATGAAAATGTATTGTATCTCTCCAGCTCTTGGGTTTGTTTGCCAGTAATGCTACATGTTCTACTGCGTCAGAAAATTAATAAAGTATGTATTCATTATGGAAGGTTATTTATTTCCAGAGATATCCCCGGATCTCAGTGACCATAAGCTGCTGGTGTAGTTTTGCCAAGCACAGTTTGGGCAGCACAGGAAGAGGGCTAACATTCCTGAATTTTATGAAGCATCATAAGGCAGGACACCCTCCCTGCTGTGAGGGTAACATGTGAGCACCATGTGAGCACCATGTTAGCCAATGAGCATCTTCACTTCTTTTCCCTGGTGTACATGAGTTGAAGGAATGACCCTTTCTTCACAGTTCTTCTGGATTTCCCATCACATTGTATGCTAAGAACAAGTTCAGCCTTAGGGTGAAATTGTCCTAAATTACTGTTCTGATGCTTAATGCTTGATTGTTTATGGTTTGTCTCAAAATAAGTTTAGTTACTCCACTAATAGCTATGAAACCTACACCACTCTCTTTAGTGTGGCAAACTCCTAAAGTAATTTGGGGCAAATTAGGTGAATATGTTCTTTTTCGAGCACAACTGAACAGGGATTACTAGGTAGAGAATGAGCATTGGTTTCTGGGAACACAGAGCAAAGTCATCATGAAAACTTTGTGTATATTGCTCATGGTGTTGAGACAGGAACTGTATGTAATTTATGTGGGCTCCCATTTTGTCACAGTAGCAGAGGACAAAACAGCTTTGTACCAGAGGGAAGAAAACAGCATTTTTAAATGCATCAGTGCCCTTCATGAAACACACACTTCAATACCTAGCTGTGATTTATTGGTGCTCCACCATTACCCTTCTCACTTAGCAGTTCACACAGGGCACCTTTAAAACCAGAAAGTCTAAACTACACAGATTTCATGTGAAATAAGCTGGTTGAAGGGAAGTGCCACTGTCAGTGTTCACCGAACATCATGTTTGACAACTCTTCTGCCGTACCGATGTCCATCTCTGCTGGTAATACAGCATTTCCCCAGATACCTTGCCCCATTAGGACAGACCTTTGATAGCACCACCAATGCCCTCTGTGGTCTGTGTTGATTAGGATAGCTGGTTTTTCCCAGGCCTTCCCCCATGATTATTCAGCTCTGGGATCTCCTGCAGGAGCAGTTATCTTGTTCCACTTAAGCATGTCCTCAGCTTGAGCAGCAAAGCTGAGTTGCATTCAGCACCAGAGATGTAATGAAGACCTAAGCTGATGCATTAGAAAATAAATTCAGCTTTCAGTGTCCAACCCTTTGAGTTTAAGAAGTTCTCACTCAGAGCTACCTGCTTGTCAGCTACCCCCTGGTATGTGCACCCTGCACACTGAAAGCATCAGAGGTACTTGAAAAAGTCACAGTTGCAGCATGTACCTGCATACAGTGGCAAAGAAAGAAGTACAGATGAAATATATCCTAAAAAAGAGCACAAGTGTAGGAGCTACAGCATGCTTGTGTCTTCTAAAGCACATCCCCCTACAGCGGAGTGAAGTCAATGGGCACAGTCAGGAATAACAGTAGAAATCACAACATCTGGATTTCTCAGCTTTCTCCAAATCCATCATATGACATCTCATATACCTGGTCAGTAGAGCAGACAGCAGGAGCACACATTTAGGGGTGAACATAAGACTACTGAAGAGCTAGCT